TGTGCTCGCTCCAGTGACTCTCAGTGCTGTGTCCTTCTGCATGCCCCAGATCACTCCCGTCTCTATCTTTATGGCCTGTTGGTTCGTGAGGGCCCTGCATGAGCCCAGCCTGCTGACCCAGAGGCAGGGCAGCAGCAGGACCAAGGCTCGGAGCCTTCCTTGCTACCTTCCTTGCTCTAGATGCCCCTCTGTTCGTACACCCCAGGAAGTGGCAGCTGTCCACGCTGAGGTGTATCCTTGTTCACCACGGTAGATGGGGATAAGAACAGCAGACCACTGAGCTTTGTTCGGGGAATGGCAGTGAGAGGGCCAAGCTGTCCACTGGACTTAAGGTCGATGCCGTAGTTTTAGGCCCAGATTCCTCAGAAAACCACTTGTGAGTGGCCTGGCTTCTTACCGCAGAGGGTGGGACCGCTGTGTCCTTCCTGAGCTGAGCTTGCCACTGTTCAAGCTTCTCAGGGGATGCCCCAGCCCCCCTCCTCTGTGACTGTCCCTTGTGACCCTCTCCTACCCAGTCACTGTGGTAGGGTGACCCCAGAGACCCTGAAGGGAAGCTGTTCTGTAAATTCTGATTCTGAGTAGCCGTCCCAAAACAACTCCTTGCCAGAATGGTTCCTGATAATACGATGCCCCAGTGACAGTGTGACAGATGCCACAGTGGAATTCTCCGACTCCGGCCTCCCGTGAGGAAGGGGTCACTGTGGTAAAGCCCCACAGTGTATTTACAGCTTACAGTGCCACGCACTTTTCTTGGGGCTAGGGTTAACCGTGCACTGGTTCTCCCTGGGGCTGCCCACCCTCTCTGGACCCTGTCCTCCTGTGTCTGGGGACTGGACCTTCTCCTCTGGAGCTGGGGCTAGTTTTCCAGCCTGCTTTGTTCTTTCTTGTGTTGTCTTCAGTTTTTCTGTACAGTTCCCAGTTTTCTAGTCAGCTTTTTCTTGGTTCCCAGTGTGCTACATTTTCTAGCAAATGGTTATTTTTTAGTGTCTCAATTTCAGGTCTCAGAGACCGTGTATTTTGCTGCCAGTCTTTAACCGCCACATTGAATCTCTCGTCTTCATTTCTCTCCTTCCTCTTGTGTGCTTGGGTGAGTGTCCTGTTGTAGGTCCTTAAACTAGTAAGGATGTGTGCTTCCTACTTTAACCCACTGTGTCCCCCTACGAAGTAAGCATTATTGTCTCCAAATATACAGGAGGGGAGCAGGCAGAGGAAGAGAGCTGTGCAGCCACACCTGCCTTGAGTGGCCAGGCAGCCCACTGGGCTTAGTGAGCTGGGATCCAGCGCCCGGCTGCTGGTACCGGCTCCGAGCCTTGGTCCCGCTGCTGCCCGGCCTCTGGGTCAGCTGGCCTGGCTCGTGCAGGGCGCTGTGTTGCTGCTCCTCTTGGACACCTCTGAGTACTCACGGGAGCAGACTGAGATTCCCAGAGAGTGAGTGAGTCCTCTGGGCCCCAGACCATCGGCGGGGACGGCAGCCCGCAGCCCTCCACCCCTCCCAGGCCCTGTCGCGCTCACTCTTCCTCTCCTCGCTGAGGGTCATTTGTCTTAATAAGGAGATGGGAACAAAACCAGCATTGAGGCGCACGAATTCTCTGTCTTCGCCCAGCGTCCGGCAAGCGGTAGCCCCCTTCCCCCGTCCTTATTTGGAGCAGAATTGAAACAGCCATTGTGGTCCTTTGTCATTTTTTGTCTGGGCTGTTCCGGCCCGGCTTTCCTGGTGCTCTGACAGCTCACGCCACTCCTTTGTCTGGTCCCTTTGAGCAGATAATTGGGCCCCATTGATGTTTCTTGTTCCCTTTGGCCGTCAGGATGCTAGTGGCTCAATAGAGGGCTTTCTGCTCGCTGCTGCCTGTCCTCCTGGTGGGCTTGCTTTTCATCTGCTTGCTTCCTCCGTCATCTCCCTGTGACAGCCATCGGTCTGTCCATCTGTCCGTCCATCCATCCATCCATCCGTCTGTTTAGTTTGAGCAAGCGTCTGTCTCTTGTGCAATGGTGCACCCTTCATCACCTCTGACTCCGCGCTTGCATCCCCAGTGGACTGTTCTGAGGAAGTGTGATTCCTTTTTATATGTGCCAGGGTTGAGCTTAGAAATAAATAATCCTTCCTGTAAGTCAGTGATGGAAAAATATCTTTAACTTTCCCCTCAGTAGGAAACGAGAGTCTCTTCTTGCCTAAAATGCAATATTATTATCATTTTTCCACTGCATTATACTGTATCTAAGTTAACCTTTAAGCAAAAACTACAGTTAGTGCGTATGAATCAGTGTCTAAAAATTCCAGTAAACAAAAAGCTTTTTTAAAAAAATGTTGGGATGAGTGGTTTTTCTTAGATAGTTTTAAACCGTGTCCCCAAAGTGAGGCCTCAACACAGAGACTTTCCAGGAGGGCTGGAGAGCCCTGCTACTCACAGCGTGAATGCACCCCTCACCGTGGGAGACAGGGTGAGGGCGCCCATCCGCAGGGAGCCACAAGCCGTCACCCTGCGTGTCTGGGCTTGCCTCTCCTGAAATCAGCCGGCGCTGGGCCCCAGATCCTGCTGGTGGCCTGATGCCCAGGGGCAGGGGCACACTGGCTGATGCTCCCTGTGGAGGTCAGCTAAGAATGGTCGTATTCCCTTTGGATTGCTGTGACAGAATGTTACAGGGGGAGAACAGCATTTACCTGTCACATCTGGAACCAGATTTCCAAGACTGAGGCCCACAGGGGCAGTGCCAGGTGAGGATCTGCTTCCTCAGGGACGCCTTCCACTGGGCTTTCACCAGCTGGCGGGGCGGGTGAGAGCACCCAGGGGTCCCTCCTGTAGGGCACTAATCCCTGTCTGGTGGCCCCACCCCCAGCACACCCTCTCTGAGTGCCACTCCCTTCTGTACTCCCTTTGGCAGGGAGGTTTTATCACATGCTCCTCAGGCCCGCTGATGTCAGACCACAGTGGGAACCGTGTTTGTTCCCTGAGCCAGCGCCCTAGACAGGGACAGAGCCGGGCCACCCAGGAACCTGTTCTCACCCGCAGCGGGACCAGGACGGCCCGCTGGCAGGTGGGGAAGGGGACAGCACTGGCTTCCCGGAGCGTCCTGTCCTGGCCCCACCATTTTCCCGTCTGCTTCTGTGTCCTGGGCTTCCCGCCCTGGGCGCCGGGCCATTTCCTGGAGTGGCCCAAGTGGGGAGCTCTGGGATGACTCTGCCTCTGGTGCCGTGGAATTTTGGCTCTTCTGAGAGCTGCAAGTGCGCCCCATGACAGCTTCCATAAACAGAGCTTGCGTTTTAGCCCTCTGCGCTCCGGCGGCGAGCATAACCATGCTGGGAGAATTCCTGGCCTCTGGGAGCCTGCACAGCCCGGGAGCTCCATTCACGCTGCCAAGGGCCGCCCGTCTGAGGATGCAGACTGTGCTCACGTCCCTCCCTTCCCACTGTCCCAGATCCTGGGCTCCTCCCTGCAGCTTCCGGCCGTCCCTTGCCTTTGGGAGCCCAGTCTTTCATCCCCACAGCGTTCATCCCGTTAGTCCTTACCCGACTGGGGCAGGTTTTAACTCTTGTAAGAAAAGGAATTACTCTTTCAAAGGCAGTAAAATAAGTTTCATGTCCTCCCTTGCTACTTTCTGCTTAGCACTGTAACCCTTTTCCAGAGCTCGAAGCTCCATTCCATCTAGCTGGCAGGAATTGCTATAAATTTACATATAAATATTATAGTGAGCTAACTCAAACATAGGTTAGGTGTCACATGGCTTCTCTTATGTGAGTAACTCAAAGTATAGATACTTTATTTATTTATTTTTTGTCTTTTTGAGACAGGGTTTCACTATGCAGTTCAGCCCGGCCTTGAGCTCACTTTGTAGCCCAGACTGGTCTTGAACTCGCAACGACCCTCCCGCCTCAGCTTCCCCAGTGCTGGGATTACAAGAGCGTGCCACCACGCCCAGCAACAAAGTATAGATAATTTAAAGAGAGAACAAAAGATGACAGAAAACAAGGAAATAGAGTGTGGAGATCGAAAGAGGACTTGGGCACTTGGGGAGATGAGGGCGGACAGGAAGCTGGACAGATCCACACGCACTGTGTATGTGTACCCATTCCCACTTGCATGTGCTGTCATGTGTCGAGAACAGGCACAGTGGAATACTTTTAAAATGTATGCATGTACGTACGTGTAACGGTTTGGTGCACGCGTGTGTTCCGTGTGGTGTGAACATGTGAAAACATGGTGTGTTTTATGAGCTTGCATGTGGCCAGGGGCCCTGCCGTCTTTTCTGCCTCGGCCCGATATTGCTGCGTGTGCTTCGAGGGTGAGCACGGCTGGAAGGCCGAGCGGTGTCACCGACGTGTCTTTCTGCACCCGAGACGCTGCCGGACACGTAGTCGGTGTCAGTGAGTGCGGGGCCCATGGAGAGAGGCCCTGGTTAAATGGATGGATTTTAACTGTGTGGAGCTAAACTCGTGGAAACCTAAGAGTGTGGTGCTGAGTGTGAGCAGCCCGGTGCCAGTGAGCGGCAGGCTTTTGGACCCTCGCCTGAATTATCCCTTTTCGATGCCGCTATTCTTGGAATCATAGTTTTAGTTTTGGTGGAAAGTGGGAACCTTCCAGGATGACATGTTACTTATTGAGATTTTTGTACGCAGCCTTCTGCCTGCTTTAAGTTGTGATCGGAGAATTAGGAATTGAAATCAGAAGGGGAAGCAGATTCATTGTAGTAAAACACACCCAGCATAGAAGTTACCATCTGAGCCTTTCTGAACAGTACGCGGTGGGGTGGCATTAGGCGCAGCCGCAGGCCATGCAGCCGTCCCCGGCATCCACCCGCAGAGCTCCGGTCACCGTCCACGCTCAAACCCCGTCCCAGGAGCTCCGGTGCTCAGCTGCGCCCTCCATCCCAGGCGCACGCGTTCTGCTTCCTGCCTCCGTGACCGCGACGCGCGACGCGCGGGACCTGCGGTTGTGTGTGTGTGTTTACTTGCGGTTATGTTATTCGGTTTGCTTTTATACTGGCTGAGTGTCCCAATGTCGCAGGGATGGAGAGGAGCACGCCAGCAGCGCCGCGCTCAGGGCTCTTTCTCTGTTGGCCACACGCTGCGTGCGGAGGAAGAAAAGCAGCCGACCAGAGTGCGCTGAGCAGCGAAGGTGCGTCGGGGTGCAAGAGCGCTTCTGCGGCAGGTTGAGTCACGTTTGTGCCGGCTGTACGCGGTGAGAAGTCGGGGGCGCGGCCGCTCTTCGGCCCTTCCCGGATGGGCGCGTGCAGGGACTTCGGCCCTTGCGCCTGCGCCTGACTTTGGCCCGGTCTGGTGTTTCTTCGCAGACTGCCCTTTCTTGACCATCCGCGGCACACTGCTTTGCCCACACCCTGCGCTGTGGGACCGCGTGTGTCTTCCTGTGGAAATCACCAGGAAGGGGCGGAGGGAAGACACAGCGAAAGCGCTGCCCAGTTCCAGGGGCTCCGTAGCAGCTGTGTGTCACACACAGTGCAAATAGCGCAGCTCTCAGACGCCAGCAGCATTCGGGGACAGGAACCCAGTGTTGGCTTTCACCCCAGCACACAAAGAGGACGCTAGATGGTGCTGTCGACTAGGAAGTGTGTCGCCCTCCACGGGCGAGCAGAGACCCCGAACTCCCTCTGTCTGTCCTTTCCTCCTCTGCACCTTTCCTGGCTGCGTGCCTTGCTTGCCTCGCAGCGGACACTCTTTCAACTGTTCTCCAAGCCAAATCCGAACGTGTTTCCCTGACTCTTTATCTGTCTCAGAATGAAGCCAGGCTCCGCCTGCTAATGACGGTGAAACAGGAGAGACGTGCATTTGAGCTTTGATGAGCTCCCCAGATATTTGGGGCAGAGTCCATGCCGAGCTTTGTCCTGGGCTATTTAAAGAAAGAAAATAACTATTAATAACTTGATGGACAGCCATGTCGTCTGATCTGTATTTGGACAGCAAAGACATTCTCACCAATCTGTGCACTGCAAGGTTTTAGATAGAAGGTCATTTCCCATTTCTCTCCTGCTCTTTGCTCTAGAGGGGCAGCCTGGGAAGATATTTTTGCTCTAGGGTAGTGTGGAATCGACACTTAGTGTGACCTGCCCTCCAGGAGCACACCCGTGTCCCATCCTCCCACTTCTGCTACCTGGAAAGAAGCTTCCCACAAGTGGGTGATTGCTGATCCCCCTCCCATTTGTGGACTGGAAAAGAATTTCGCAGCTGGTCAGGCATGGAGAGATCCGGGGGTCCTGGCCAAGGTGGGCTGGGTGAGGGGACAGAGCCCTGTGATGAGTTTGCAAGAACTGAGGGATTTCAGCAATGGCTGATTCTAGCAATTTAAAAAAAAAAAAAAACAACTTGGTATAGAATACAAAGTGAATTGTCTATAATCAGCCCTTAAAAAGCCCTATTTGGGCTTTTCATTTTGGACCGTGTTAGAATTTAAGAAAGTTTAAGTGCAGTGAGATAACCACAGTGATTTCATTATTGGAACAGTTAAAGTGGTAATTATCCCCACGGGACATCTCAAAGTTGATGCTAGAGGAGAGCATTTTCAGACCCTTTAAACAAGGGATGGTTTGAGGCAGCAGATATACTGGTTGGATTCGATTCTTGAAAATTGTGTCCTTCTCTGCGATTGCTAGCAGATTGGCTAGCTTTGTTTTAAAAAGACCTGATTAAATGTATTAGAGTTAAAGCAGTTGTACACACAACCTCACCCAAAGGAGAGGCATTGTGAGGACCTGGGGTGTCCCTTTCCGTTTTGAGAGCCGCTCACCGTGCACTTGCTTTGAATGGTATCAGTATTGCTTTGCATTTAACTTGGCATGGTAACGCACCTCTGTAATCCCGGATGTGTCTGTGGGAGGCTGAGGCAGGAGGAGACAGCAAGTTCAAGCCCAGCCCGCACCACTTGGCAAGAAGAAAAGGAAGAAGGGAGGGGTGCTGGCAGTGCAGCTCAGTGTGAAGGCCCAGGGTTCATGCCCCAGTACCACCAAAAGCAAAGACAGTTGCTTTGCCCTTGACCTGACGGCAGAGGGCAACCCAGAAATGACCCGCCCTGTCTGCCTGCACCATCTGCCCTACCAGGAGCTGAGCTGGGCAAACAGCCTGGCCTCCTCGTGGCCATCTCAGCAGCCAGCTGTGTGTCCCTCCTCCTCATGACCCTGGGCGTGGCCCGCCTGAAACTCAGGCCTTGGTCAGAGCCCCTGCCGGGCACCACTGCTGGCACGTAGAGACCACGCTGGGGACTGTGGCCCTCGGGCTCCGCCTCTCCAAACTGCCCCTCACCACAGCCCCGGGCGCTAACACTGGGCTCCCGTTCCCTCTGCCCTTAGCCACACTCGATGCCAGGCCTTCTGCAGGCTGGTTTTGAGGGATTGTTTCATGTCGTGATGCCCCTTAGACTTGAGAGACAAGGGAAACCACAACAAAGGCCATCAGAAACGGTTGGCAGTGCTGGAGACCGAACCTAGGGCCTTGTGCGTGCCGGGGCAGCGCTCTGCCTCCCTGCTGCACCCTGCTTGCGTCTGAGGCTGTCGTGTCCGGGCCTGGACACACGAGGGACCAGGCCTGTGGGGAGATCTGGGGTCCCGGTTGCTGCACGCACTTGGGGGGTCCACTTGTTTTCGCCCCAGGGGCCCCTGAGCACCACGTGCGATCTTGCACAAGTGATACTCCTCCAGGCCTGTTTCTTCGGCTGTTAAACCAGCCGGCAGTGGCCCTCCGTGTGATTTTGTGCAGAATGGGTGAAGTAGAGCTAACGCACAGCACCCCAAAGTTCACTGTCTGCCCTCACAGCTCCCCAGGGGCTGGGTATTGTCACTAACCCCACCTTAGATCTGGAGAAGCTGAGGAATAGAAAGAACACCCGGCACCCTGCCCTGGGCCTGGCCGGCAGGGGCAGCCACAGGAGGGCAAGTACCCCCGTGCCATCTCTGGCTCTGTCCTTCCGGTGAGGAGCGAGAGCCTCTCCTATGGTGATGCCCTGAGGCTGGTAACCAGGCCTGGCCCCCATGTGTGGCGTGGGTGGTAGCAAGGGGATGGTGACTTGCAAAGGAAAGCGTTAGAGCAGTGGTCTCCAGCCTTTCTGACACGCGGGACAGGGTTTATGGACGACCCTGGCCTTGGTCACTCTTCTCATCACTAGGCCGTGATACCCGACTTGCAGGCGGGGAGGGTTATTTCAGCTCACTGTGTGTAGAGGTTTTTGCAGTTTACTGGGGCCAAGGCAGCACGGCTGGGCAGAGGGGAAACAGCTGAGAGGGAAGGGAGGAGGGGAGGAGATAGCCCAGGCCACCCAGGGCCCCCGCTTCCCCAGGCCCGCCCTCCCAACAGCAGGGTAGCTGTGGACTCGCGGTGGACAGACCCACTGAGAGCGCGTGGCCCCTGGTCAGCTGCCTCCCTGAGCCCCTCCTCCCATGCATGAGGCTTTGGGGGACATCCGGACGTGAACCATAGCGAGTTTTCCACGGCAGGGGTGGGGGCTTGGGGCTGACTCTGAGCACTTTCCCTTTATGGTGTGTTTTGTTTCTCTTGCTCTTGCACTGTGATACACAGAGATGTAATTAGGCAGCTCACGTGGTGCCGAGTCAGCAGGAGTCCCCCCCATCCTCCCGCAGCTAGCCGCCCCATCCAGGAAGATGGAGGCAGTGACCGCCAAGTGTGGCGCTCGGGCCAGGCTGCTCCGCCATCTCACTCGGGTCTGTGCCGGGTGCCGCTGGCCGGTCACTGGCCACTCCCTGCTCACTGCCAGAGCTTTGACCCGAGTCTGCCAGCTGTTGTTTGACCACAGCCTCGGTGTAGTCAGACCTCGCCGCTGAGGTTCTTGTGTCTCGGGCCCTGCGCCATCGTGCGGGTCTGCCTGGGCACAGCGGGGCAGTGGGACTGTGCCTTCCGAGTCACACGGGGGTGTCAGTAGCTACTGAGCTGTCCTGTCGGTCTGGGGACCGGTCCCCGTGGCATATGCATGCCGCTGACTGCCCTTCCCCACCCTTGCCCTGTCCCCTGCAGATAATGATGTGGACTTCGACAAGCTGGTGGATGACATGAAAGCATCCCTGTACATGGCCTCCAACATGCATTCGGACACCGTGCCGCTCCTGCAGAACGGCCAGCCGCACGCCTGCAGCCAGCCGCGTGCTCCCAGCCCGAAGCCTCTGCCGCCTCCGATCCCCAGCCCAAGGCCTCTGCAGCCCACCCCGGCCCCCATCCCTGTCCTGAGGCCTCTGCCTCCACCCACCCCTGTCCCGAGGTCTCTGCCACCTCTGCACCCTCCACCGCCACCCCCGAAGCCTCCGCAGCAGCCCCTGTCACCCCGGCTGTGGGTGCAGCGCTCCCAACCGGTGCACATCCTCCCAGTCAGGTAGGTGACACACGGTCCCTCTGCGCGGTGCTGGGGCAGTGGGGGCTGCGATGACGATGGCCCTGTGGGTGACAGGGTGGGCCCAGCTTGGGGTGCGCGGGCTGCGCCTGGGACCCGGCCTCTTCTGCTGTGCCTGCTGCATGCCAGTCACTGGGCCAAGTGGAGGGGAGTGCAGGGAGAGCTCCAGACGTTCTGGAGCGTTCTGGATGTCACAGATGTGTCCAGGCGGGTGACTGAGTGCCGGAAGACCACACTGCCCAGAGTGCGGACTGCGGGCCAGGGACGGAGTCACCCCGGGGTTGGTTGGACCCCACCGGGGCGGCGCTGTGACTGGGTCCCTGCGGGGTCAAAGTGGGAGTGTTGCTGGAAGTGGGGGCCCTGGAGAGAGCAGCTGGGGACATGGGGTGTGGCGGGAACCAGGGCTGTGGAGGAAGCTGTGGGGCACAGGCTGCCAGCGTCCCCAGGCCTGAAGCTGCAGGGGCCCAGGGACAGCGGTGTCCTGACAGGGCAGAGCTGAGGACCGGCAGCGTCATGGTGCCTCGGTGCCTTAGCTGGCAGCAGCAAAGGGAAAGGCAGCCCTGGTGACCAGCTTTGTCTCAGGTAGTTGGGGCATCCAGGGCCACTCTATGACACCAGCCCAGGAGTCGCATGTGTGGCCCTGGCAGGGGACGCCTCTCCTCACCAGGGACCTGCAGGGTGCAGGGGCCCTTGCTGGGTGTTACCCCCTCTCCGGCCTCTCTGGCAGGTCCGCATCCCTGTCCCTCGCAAGAGCTGCATTTCTGCGGGTCTCTGTTCCCCTGGCCATGTTCCCCTTGCTTTCTGAAGCTTCTGAGATTCCTTTCCTGCCCAGCACCCCAGACCTGAGAGGTGGAGGGGGCTGTGGGACCCCAGCTCACTGGCACCCCGTCTCCCCGCTTTTCCCACACCGGTGGACACCATCGGGCTTTTCGGTGAAGATGTGTGCGCAGCCGTGCGGGGCTGTCGGGAATGGCAGGTGTTCACCCGCTTGTCTCCTTCCTCACAGGCGCCTTCAGGAGGAGGACCAGCAGTTCCGAACCTCGTCCCTGCCGGCCATCCCCAACCCGTTCCCCGAGCTTGGCAGGACTGCCAGCCCCCCTAACCCTCCTGTGCTCCCGCCGGGCTCCCTCCTTTCAAACCATCCCCCCGCGAGGCAGGTAAGTGTGGCCGTTTACACACAGGCGCTCGGCCGGATCTGGGCAGCGTGCAGGCGCCATGCCGCCTGGGGGGGTGGGGACTGGAGACCTTCTCCGCGCACCCTTCCCACGGCTGCTGTACAGCTGTCGTATGAGGCCTTTCCATGTCCACTTCCCAAGGCTGAGTTGTTGGGGAAAGAGTCTCATAGCCGTGATGTTTAAAAACATAATTTGGTGCTTAAAGATGCTTGTTGGTTCCTTCAAAGAAATGCTGTGGCCAGGTCCCCCCACGGCCAGGAATTCTGGGCACACGCATCAGTCAGCTTCCTCGGTGCAGGAACAGAACACCAGACACAGGGATTCAGGGACAGAGGCTGACTCTGGCTGTCTCAGCCCGTGCTCGTATCATGAAACTGTGTTTCCTAATGCGGATTACTAAAAATGTATAAAACGACCTTAAGGAGACACAAGCAAATTTTATGCTTACGCCTGGGTCCTGTCCTTCAGACAGGCTCACTGCGCGGGAGTTCTAACATCCCAGGAAGTGTGCAGATTCAGACCGCTGCTGGCTGCAGCATTTTGGGTAAAGGATGCTCAGCCTGTACCTGTGACCGCTCCCCGTGGTCTAGGCCAAGGTGTTTGGTGAAATTACTGAACTGAAGTGGGTTAGCGCCTTGGTGCTTGCTGGAGGCATCGCGAGCAGACGTGAAGTCTTTGCCATGCTTCTTAGGCCCGGAGCCACCCTGGGACTGCTGTGGAGCGTGCCACTGAGCAGGTGTCCCGGGTCCGAGGGTTGCCCCCGCCTGGCCCCCACCCACCCGCCGCCGAGGGTACAGCCGCCTCTTCCCAGCACGGCGGCTGCCGCCCATCCTGCTCTGGATTTTTTCTGACCTCCTTCCTGGGCACACCTCAGTCTCTTAGCTGGCCTGAGGAAAGTAACTTGAGTCGCAAAAATGTAGAAAGTACAAAAGGACTCCCTGGAGGAGTCCGGCGGGTGTTTGGGAGAGAGAATGTGGTAAACATCCTCCCACCACCTCACTGCCAAGTCTGGACATTTCCAGGAAGAGGACACAGACGGGACAGTGCCCTGCTCGAGAAGGCTGCTGGGTGCACACCCTGTGCTGGCTGGTGTTCTCTGGCATCGCCCGGCCCATTTACATGGGAAGAACCCTGAAACATAGCAGAGATGCCGAGGCATGGGGCACACTCTGCCTCTGCTCTTGGGACCCGTTCTGTTCACGCAGCCCTGGCCTCTCCGCAGAGCCAGGAAGGGAGCAAGGGCAGTGCAGGGTCTCAAGACTCCCCAGAGAGTGAGAGGCAACAGTGCTTGCTTGTTCACTGGACCGCAGGCCACTGAGCTATCACAGAACAGTATTTTAACAAGGTGTGATGGATGGACAGAGATGGATGAGTAGAGATGGATGGGCGGATGGGCGGATGGGCGGATGGGCGGATGGGTGGATGGGTGGATG